CAATAATAATCTTTTTCCCTGTTGAAAATTATTTAGAAATAATAGTAGTAATAATAACTATACTATACCAATAATAATGTCTTTTTTTTACACCGATAATAATGTCTTTAACAACAAAGTTAAATATATGAAATTATCAAACTAAAAACTAGATTAAATAGATGTGATATCTTTTAATTTTAAATTTAGAAGATAATATTACAGTTTGGATTCAAATTTTCCTTTTATTATTTTCTATCATTACAATAACAATAAAAAATCATAATAAAATTATATTTAACAAATATAATTCCTAACAATTTGAATTAATGTTTTTTACAATTTTGTTAAAATATTTCACAAAAATTAAAATTTCAACTTTAGAATTTAATTAGGATCATAATAAACTGTTCTAGTGAAAATGATTAATTAAATATTTCATTTTTTAATAATATTTCAAGACATAAGTTATAACGGTTTGATGTCTTATATCACTTATCTAAATAAAAAATACTAATTTAAATAAACTAATTAAAGATATTAGGATAAATTGTTTTGAATGTACACCTATGTCAATTTATATTTTAGGATGCAAGACATACGTTTAGTTAAGATAATGTCTAATTTAAAACAAACCAACAAACAAATATTTTTTTTATTAAAAGAATTAAGTTGCTGCAAGTTGTATTTGAAGATAAGTAAGAGCAAGAGACCACTTTTGTGCTAAAAAATTTAAAACAATATTAACCTTGTTTTTATGATGAATACTAATAATATTTAATCTTTACAAATATAAACAAATATGCATCAATAATTGTTAAAATAATATTTTAATATTTAATATTTACAAAATAATAAAATTCAAATAAATTTTTAATAGTTTTTAATAATTCTAACTTAAAAAAACACTTTTGTGCATTTATGTGTGACACCCTTACTACCCCAACACATATATTGTAATAATATAAATAAACTAAGAAAATCAAATTCTCAAAATAGGTAAAAGGATTCACATGAAACCTTTAGAAACATTCTTCAATATCCAAAATATTCTGAAAGTGAAACTTAGAAAATAAAACGTAAGAGGTTACAAAATATTTTCAAAATAATAGGTTCAACTTCGTATTCAAATACAATTCATGTCCTAGAAATTCACTGCCCCGATGTCACAATATCAGAGCATACCCATAAATCAACTGTTGACATTCTAGATGCCACTCATAGCCGGATCTTCCTCACCTAAAATATCCACAAATTGTACG